TGCAATCCCTTACCCATTGGGAACTACTGGTAAGTTTCACGTTTAGAAACATTAATAGCTGTCGCTGATGGCACCAGTTGATTATTATTGCTGGTTTAGTACGTACTTTAAAAAACACAGTAAATATATTATACGAACATTACAGAACTGAGATAATAAATTTTTTTTATAAAAAAAACATAAACCTGTCGGATCACTTGCCTATTGGTTTATTTTTGCAGATTAATTTAACTAAGAAACAAAATCTGAAAAAAAAAAAAGAAAATCACTTCAACAAAAGAAAATAAGAATATAATAAATGTAGTCGAAGACGTTTATTTAAATATATAATTCATTAAGAACAACTCAAAAACTGCGGGCCATATATTGATAAAATTTAAATCCGACAAGTAGTCTTCAAATAAAAAAAATATCATCAAAATCGTCTTAATCAATTTCACCTAGAAAAAGTTCTGTGAACACTTAAAAAGTATAGTATCGAATTGATAACCTCGAATTGGCAAACGTAGTGCAGGACGGCCTCAGTCTCGGTGGAGTGATGATCTGGCTGATGATGATAATGATGATGATCTGATGAGTGGTTGACAAACGTTGGATGAGAGAAGCCGAGGATCGTGGTCAGTAGCGTGTAATTTGAAAGTCCGATCCTTAGACACAGCCCACTGACTTCCTCGGCGGATCTTCTCAGTGGGTCGCGTTTCCGATCCGGTGGTAGATTCTGCGAAGCACGGCTCTTGCTAGGGTTCGTGTTAGCAACGTCGTCAGGTTCGAGCCCCGTGAGCTCACCTACTAATTAAGGTTCCGCTGATATAGCCTCTCAAGGCTATCAGCTTAGGTAGAAAAAAAAAAGAGAGTCCAGCAGGCTGATGATGATAACCTCCTCCTCCTCCTTTATTGAAATCAGGTTATAAGAAAAAATCTTTTAATCAAAGCGATCATTGCAGCATTAATGAACTTCATTACTACTTGGTATTTTTGCAGAACCAAGTTGCAAGTTGGAGTTTTTAAAACTTGAATAGACTGCTGAAATTTACATTTTATTTTCACGTAAATTTTAATCTAGCTCACTCTCGCGGCTATTCTAAATAAATAAAAATATTGCTTAGATGGGTGGACGAGCTCACAGCCCACCTGGTGTTAAGTGGTTACTGGAGCCCATAGACATCTACAACGTAAATGCGCCACCCACCTTGAGACATAAGTTCTAAGGGCTCAGTATAGTTACAATGGCTGCCCCACCCTTTAAACCGAAACGCATTACTGCTTCACGGCAGAAATAGGCAGGGTGGTGGTACCTACCTGCGCGAACTCACAAGAGGTCTTACCACCAGTAAAATAATTGTAGACCATTGTGGATATTTATAATATATAATAGTAGACCAATTTCAATGTACCCAATCAATGCATCAACTTTTTTATAAGTATGTAAATGTGCTAAAATGTTGTGTTCAATACGACCGCCCCGTTTGGTATTTTATGCAGGCGTATACTCTGGCGATAAAGTTAATTATTAAATTTAAGTAGGATGATAAAGAGAATCGAATCGAAATTTTCTGAAGTAGGTATAAAGTTTCTTTCACTTTTTGAAACTCTTCATTCGATTGTTATCAGTCGAATGATTTTATGTCAGGCTATTAATAGGTGAAATACAATGTCAATAAAACATTTGGCTGTCCACGTTGCTTCTGTAGTAAAATAGCTCTGAAGGAAGTAAAGGAAATAATCCAGAAAAATATTTTACCTAAGGAAATTAAAATAACATCGAGAACCAATAATAAAAAAAGCAATAGGTAAGCAAAAGTAGATTACAAAAAAAAGGAGTTTCTCAATTAGTCAATAATGTGTCATGGGTAAGATCCGGCTTTATTGATGGTTTTGGTGTTATCAAAACATCGATCCGCGTGAATCAAGATGCGATTCTTGAAAATATAGTTAAACTTGGAAACAGCATTATGTGGCAAAGCCAAGAATTGTCTTATTGAATCCAATAACTGTCCTGTTAAGACTGAGCACCGATAAAGCTCGATCATGACACAAGTGCAAACGAACGTCTCTGACTTCATCAGAAGTGAAGAGTGGCTGTTGTTTAGTCTCTATCTTTTCGCTACAATCATTTGAGTTTAACAACCCCTTTATTTTTCGCAATAATGAAATAACAAATAAATCTTTTCGCTTGACTATGATTCACTGTTTCTTTTAGAGAGTATAACACACACTCAATGTCATTATCATTTGGAAATCCCAAAATCTTCTATAAGATTGACCGTAGCAATTATTTTCATGTACCTAGAATCTAGAAAGTGCATATTTTAATCGTTCAGCCCACACCGAATCAAGCCAGCGGACTTCACTTTGAATGAGCTTTATATTTTTGTAAAAATATTATATTAATATATATATACTAATGCAAGTTGCAGTAATAAATGCTTTGTTACACGAAGCATTCAATCCCTATATAGGTTGCTCTTTCACAAGGGCGTGTAGACCAGGATATACGTTGTTTTTTTGGGTCAACGTCGCTAGCCTACAAGCCGGCATATAAAAGGCACGCCAAACACATAGGTAGCTGGGATATGGGCGAGATCTCTACCCCGACTTTAGTTTCGATGGCAACCGGTTGATGAGGAGTGTGAAGCATTCTCTCTGACGTCCCACAGCCCACCTCTGCAAGATAGTTGCATCGCTCTCTTTTACATTTCGCTATAAATCGGTACAAATTTGTGCGACTAGGACACAGTGCTAATCCTCCCAAACGAAACAGACTACGAGCGTATGCTCCGATGAATGATGAAGTAACATCAACAGTAAGCGTGCGCCAGCAGTAGATTTAGTCGGGGACACTTTTTTTTATTTTTTTGTTTATCAAACCACGTTAATGCCGCCACCCACTTTGAGGCAGAAGTTCTATGTCACAGTTTTTGCGGATTTTATTTTTACTAGATGATATTAATCCTTCATCCTGGAAATTATTCGTGAACATGTGTAAGGTAAGAATTTCTTTAGAAAATTGGCACTTGCCTGCGGGATTCGAAAACTAGTACAATCGCATAGCTCGATACGAATTCACTGGGCTTTTTATCCTTTAGGCTACGACGACTTTTAAACGACGTGAACGATGCTTCGTGTACGGGCAGTCGATATTGGGCCTGGACGAGGTGGCACCACGTCTCGTCCATGGAAATCAGTTTGATACTGATAATTAACAGCGAATCAGAGCAACGTCGTCGGCAATAAGCACGTTGTTTTAAAAGAACAGGCGCGAAAACATTGGTAGCCCTTGCCTACTGCTTACACTACTGCAGCTTCGTCATCAGTATTTGAGACGTATATCCGACTATACGGGAGATCCATAACAAGGTCATCAATTTCAACATTCCTATGTAGAGGCGTCGCATGTTGCTACGCGTTTGTTAAGATCTACCGGTAAATCGGCCCAAGGTTCGAAAGGTGCTCAATAGCAGACGGATCAAGATCAAAATCTAGATTGAGATTGAGCTAGTACATAGTACCAAGACCTCACTCCAACAACGATGTGCGTATCAGCATATGGTGCCCTCCGAGGCCCTTGAACCCACAGAACTTGACATTTATGAAAGCCACGTTGAGACCCAGTATTTTAATCCTGTTAACAATAAAAGTTACTTCAGGAATGAAAAGCCAGGTAAATTCCCAAAAATTATCCCATTGGACCACGAGCAGCGCAACAATTAACACCCCGTTGACCACGTAACAAATAACGCAGAGACCCGGAAGGATGTTCCACATGATGTAAATGGCTATAGACCAACCCCTACGCAACACCTCGAATAACCAATAACTTATGTACGCCACGCCACGCCATCTCCGGTGTAGACCATCCACCTCGCGTCCACATAGGAGCCAATTGCTCGACGGAGATAGAGGAGAACTCTATGTCTTTACTCCGAATCACGGATCAAATTTTTTTTTATTGCTTAGAGGGGTGAACGAGCTCACAGCCCACCTAGTGTTAAGTGGTTACTGGAGCCCATAGACATCTACAACGTAAATGTGCCACCCACCTAGAGATATGAGTTCTAAGGTCTCAAGTATAGTTACAACGGCTGCCCCACCCTTCAAACCGCATTATTGCTTCACGGCAGAAATAGGCAGGGTGGCGGTACCTACCCGCGCGGACTCACAAAGGGTCCTACCACCAGTAACTAACCAAATCAGGGTGAATTTATGGATCTGGTGTTTCGACTTCAATATAATCCAAAAATATTGAATTTTTAACTCAGCTTAACTCAATTTAACTCAGTGCTATTTTCCAAAAATAATATATGGTTTTTCGTATGTCGCAAAGATCATAAAAAATATTGTATACCTTAATTCAAGTTGGTCACGTTATTCTGAACAATTTGAAACAAATATTTTGACACGTTTGGATACGTTATTTTAAACAATCTCTAACATTCCTAATATTTTTCGGTTAAAAAAAAGTTAATACCCTTGTTTTAAAATAGTAATGTTTTATAGTTCCGATTCTTCAATATTACAATCATTATAAAACCATCAACCACACTTTTAAAATATAAACCCTCCATACCATTTACATATAGGATCATTTACAATAAATCACTTAAATCAGTGACATTAATCAAACAATAACCGTTGGAAATTGGATCCCGTGTTCATCATAAGCTTTTAGAGATCCTTTGTGGGCAAAAGAGCTCTGACATAACGTGTTATCAAATAAAAGAAAGGTGTGAATTTTCACAGGCGGTTGTCGTGGCTCCACCTACTTAAGATGGCGTTATCCCCTCCATCAGATTATCAGCCAGTAGCGTTTCAGAATCTCACGAGATCCATACCTACAGCCACTGCAGCCGAACATACGGCACCACCTATTTTCGGAAGCAATTATCAGTTTCCAACTGGCTGTTAAAGAATTTTAGTTCGGCTCGCTGGCATTGCCAGTGTCACGGGCGATTAAGTCTTTGATACGTTTCAAATCTTTCAAAATTAAATTATAAGTAATAATGGACACTATTGATGACATATCCAGTACGTGCGAAAATGACTCGGTCAACTTAAAAAAATCGAGTGCTTTGTTTAGTGCTGAAAAAGATTCATATTGCGATTCGGAAACCGATTATGATAGTGAAAATGAAACAATCGACATCTGTGAAAATAGTGAGCATTCTTTTAGTAAAACTGTGTTAGTGAATTCACGCATTGAAGACGAAAAAACAAAATTCTTTGAAAATCACCGCGTTATATTTCCAACGAGATCACTTACAAATTTTGTAAATAATGAATCTTCCCGACATGTAAAAGACAAAAGTAAAACTTTTCTGATAGACAATATTTTAGGAAACATTAATAATGAAAAAATTAATACAAAAGAACAGGGAGAAACCACCGAAGATAACGCAGATGAATACAACGGTTAGTACATAGTTATTTATGATAATGGTATACCTAGGTGATATTAAGCTTGCTATTTTATTCATGTTCTAATCATTAAATTTATATTAACAACAAGGATGTGTAAAATAAATTTTGTAAGTCAAAATTGTTCAGAATGTCATATTACATTTTTCGTTCAGAACTTTCTATTCAACACAAGTCTGCTTTTTTTAAATAATTCTTCTTCCTCTTCTGTTTGTGGGGTCGACGCAGCATATACTTTTTCATGCTGTATAGGGATTAGGCATGAGTTTTACCACAGACCGCCTGCCTAATGTCAACTCTACTTGAGTTATATCTCCATATATCCACTGTGCAACGTGTCACAGGAAGGGAATTTTTCTATTTCTCGTTATCGTGCTTCTTTAGCTTTATGCGTTTTTGGTTCTAAGATTTGCATTGTATTATTAGAAACATTTACACCTTTTTTATTATAAGTACGGACATTAAATCGATTGACTGTTCTTTCAGTGTCTTCGACGTCGGCATGTCCAGAGCTGGGCACGTTGAATGGCGCAGGTCTCCTAGCGGGACATGCCTACACGCAATGGTTGGCAACACATCAGCCTACAAACAGTTTTTTCGGTGCGTTTTTCTTATTATGCAGTATATATACTAGATGACAGCTCACGATTCTTCCAGTATCAAACTGTCATTGAATCCCATAGGTTGAAGGTACGTTCCAGCTGTAGGTACAGGCTCCGTGACTTTATCCCCTGATGCAAATCAGGACAGTCTACTATCATTATACGATCCTCTGACCCAAAAGATTGCCTGTTGTAAATTATCCATGTTTTATATAGGTATAAACAAATACAATTTTTGGCAGACCCATATAGACCCATATAGAATAGTAAAGACATTCGTAATTTCTCAGTGGGTCGCGATTCTGATCCGGTCGTAGATTCTGCGAAGCACTGCTCTTGCTAGGGCTAGTGTTTGCAACGTCCTTAGGTTAGAGCCCCGTGAGCTCACCTACTCGCTCGGTGACGCTGGCTATGCCACTATGCCACCTTTAAGGCTAATGGCTTAGGTAGGAAAAAAACCGTATCTTCATAGTTATGACTTAGAGATGTAGCTTTCGTATCGAATGATGCGACTACGCCACCATACAAATCACCTGGCAGGGATCCGTTTTCTAAGCAAGTGTGTATTGCTTGGAAAAATATTTCATGTTCACGAACGACTTAATAATAAAATGAAAACGAAGCCCGCTAAATTATAAACTATGTGCTTTATACCTCAGTCTTATTGTGTATGCACAAATGGGTACTACAAATCATCCGGTTTTTTTTCTGTTGGTGGATAAGCTACCGATTGTTACCGTTTAGTAATCACAGCGTGAATACAACAATATTGTATAACAAATTATAAATTATAACGGGAATCCATAACTTTGAGGTAGAAAAAGGGAGTATTATGGTACCTATTAGTGCGGGCTCACATACCAGTAAAATCATCAATTGCATGGATTTTGACAATGAAATAACGTTCGTTTACTAAATAAAACAGTACCAGTATTTTATTATTGCTTAGAGTTGCCTAAATTAGATGGGTTTAAACTACCAACCTACATATTAGAAGCTTGTACCCAAAACTAATGTAGAACGCGCACAGATCAACTGTAAGGACGCGCGTGCGACACCCAGGCCTGATCGATGACAGTAAACATTTAGGCATTATTCCGATGTAATTGTTTTAGGAAAACATTTATTTTTATTTTTTTAAATATTTTTCTACTGAATTAAATATGCTACTGTAATAACGAAAATTCTTCATTTTATAAGCGTTTCGTATTAAATTATGGATTTAAATTTTTATGCATTTGCATCACTGCATCATCATAGTCGATTGCTCTCGGCAGAGCAGTCGTGGTCATGTGGAATTCTTGTTTATTAAACCCTTGACAGAGGTTTTCCATAGTTTGCGAACTGAGGCTTGGCGCACGCACTCGTTAAGTGGGGTTTCGGTAAAGTCTTTCACCTGATCAGTCCAGCGCATGGGGATTCGTCCACGAGATTTGAATACCTTTGCTTAAAAAAAGGTGCACTAAGCAAATTTATATCTCCTTAGTTTTTTTGTAGTTGACTATTTGGTTGACTTTCTGTAGATAAAATGAGATCTGGCGTAATTGGTGGTGCCCTAAAATATACAAAATGAAAGAAAACTTAATTCGTAAATATTTTAATTTTGGTGGTTAACGTATCCTCAAAAAATCTTTATAATTCAAACCCTTAGGATAATAATATATAACCGTGACATCCCAAAATTGCGTAACGGTTGCCGTGCGTGTTATTATCGCGTGATCGACTACCCGGTGTTAATATTCACATACAGCGAGAGCACGCAATCTAACCCCTGTTAAACATTGTGCAGGTGTGATTAAAAACAAATCTTGTATCGTCCTCAGCATAATGGGTTGATCAGCCGGTGCACTCTTACCACCGCGCCGCCGTTGAATATTCTCTACTTCTCTCTTCTCAACTAATTCCTAGCTTAAGGTCCGACTTTATTACTGATCTTCCTCATTTCATTATTTAACCTACAAAAGCAACGACTTTCATTTGAAGCTACTATTATATTTAAGCAACAAAAGCAAAAGATTGTTTTAGATTTTTATTCTACAATTTTTCGTCTTGTCATAAATAACTCTTCATCTGGGCTTTCAACAAGAGAGGAAATTTTGTCATGATGTCAGTGTGACGTCTCGTGGTCTTCTTGTGATGAGACCATAAAAACTTTCCACATTCAGTGACCTATTATAACGCACACAAACTAGATAAAAACAAGGTGAAAAAGAAGCTAGATATTGAGTAGCACTGATTTGCAAGATAATCTGGACACAAAACTACAATAATTACTTTCGGAGCCTCCGAACTTGGGGTATGCGCCCATAACTATCCAGGAATAGATGGAAAAATCCGCTAAAAACCTGTATCGCACTAATTACATTTTTCAAGAGTCAAACCTTCTCATAACGTACGCGAATCTTTGCTTCCAACCTAATATCCAGAAACGGCAATCAGCATAGAACCTCTCAAGTCTTTAGTCAGGAGTCTAGTTTCGTGCTAGTAAGCCGAACCAAACAGATTTCATAATAGGTACCTATTTATTACCTATGAAGTTACCGTTTTACAAAACTGGCCTTATGAAATCGAATTTATGTGTCGCTGACAATGGGTTCTAAATTTGAATGAATATTTTATTTTAAAATTCAGTCATTTGTTTATTTATTAGTGTTTTATTTTCACTACATTTGTATATTTTCATCAATATGGACACGATAAAAATACGATAAATAATCGATAAAAATACGTATCCCAGAGTTCCGTCGCGGTAGCAATGCCGTACAAACGGTTCACAATATTAATGACGTGTACGGACTGAACACTACAAATGCACGCACGACTCTATTGTTTCAACGCTTCCGACGTATTTTTTTAAATTTAATTTTAATCTGTGGTCCCCGAAAACTAAAGACTACTACGACGAATTAAATGGGATGGTGGAAGCTGACGATACTCAATCTACCGTTGAGTTAGCAGCAGCTTTCAATGTTAGCACCAAAACAATTTTGGTTATTTTACGTAAAATTAGCAAGGTAAAAATACTTAAGTCGGTGCCACACGAACTTAACAATCGTCGACGCAATGAAAGCGTTAAGGATGCTTTGCGTTGCTTAGGTAAGCTATAATAGGTAGGTAACTGCAGTTAGATAACTGACGCAGAAACGAAGGGATTTTGAATGGCACTGTCACTTGCGATGAAAAATAGATTATTTTTGATTAACATACACGGTCATCATGTTAGTTAGAGCCGGGTTCAGCATTTACGCAATGCTCCACCCGAAAATTACCTCTAAAATAAATAAATTTCTATTCTATTCTATTTTTTAGTTGGATTTTCTATAAAAGCGTATTTCGTTATAATAGTTTTTTTAAACTATCATTTATTTTTCATTTTTTAGTTGAATTTCAATTTTTTCAATTTGTTTTTTAAATATTGAATTGTCATCGGTCTTTAATAAGTATACCCAATTTCGAGTTAATCCAACGTTTTGAAGGGGGTCAAAATCATGTTCAAAGATTCCGTTACAAACATACATACATACGTCTGAAGCTAATAAAAGCGTATTAATAACAAATCATAGTCACTAATTGGTGGTCTAGTGGCCGGTATAATTCATCATATCTTCTTACCAAATAGTACTGGCGTTACTGCAGATGTGTCATCTACCGTACTCACCAGAACTTGAACCGACCATTTTTTTTCAATGTTAGAACAACTTTTTAGCAGGGAAGAAAATAAATAGCCGAGAGGTAATGCAAAATACCTTTGAAGAGATTGTTGTCTTTTTTTTTTTTTTTTTATTGCTTATATGGATGGACGAGCTCACAGCCCACCTGATGTTAAGTGGTTACTGTAGCCCATAGACATCTACAACGTAAATGCGCCACCCACCTGCGTCTCTTACACATCTGACCTTTTTAAGAAGGGCATTACCAAAAAACAATTATCACTAACCTAGCAGAGATGCATCGATACCATTAGTGCATATTTTTATTGATAGAAATAAATAATGATTATATAAAAAATTACTTTAACTTTCGGTATACTAAACGGCAATTTCGTACGTAAAGACCTAATATTTTATATTATGTTGCACATAATTTGTTTGGTTTAATAAATTAAATAGGTCCGATTAATAGGACTAGAGGTCCCGCAGTAGTCGAAATTCGACTATAATTAATTGGAATTGTAAGTTTGTACACTATTATGATTGTATTTTCAACGCCAATACTACACTATAGAAAAATATTAATAAACTAACAATATTTAACCTATTCTCAATTTGACCACAGACGTCAAGAACAAAAGTTTGACAATAAATAAATAGTATGCATGCGTGTGTGTGTCAAATAAATGGTAGTGTGTGTAATGTTTTCTTTATTGATTTAATGTATCTTTTATGCATTTTTTTAAAAAAATATTAGCATTGTGCACTTCTTCTCTATATTCTTTATAAGTGTGGCTAATTTCATACTCCTCCATCCGCGCAATATTCGTAAAAAGGGATACAAAGTTTTTGCTTTACGTATTAATATATATAGATGATGTTGAAGGTATATGATGTTAAATATCTCTTTTTTTTCGATTCATCTATGCAGCTGTTTCTGCCGTTTAGCACTCAAAAACGGTGAGAAAAATATTTAGTCTTTCTTTACTTTCTTTTTTTAAATTTAATCTTTCTTTTCTTAGTAACTTTTATGACATTCTTATTTCATTTCATTTCGACAATTAATTGAAACCTCTTAATAAAATATCTCAATTGATTTTGTAAAAAAATATTTTACGCCATCTCAAGAAGAAAATATGTTTATATTCATGAAAATTACTGAACGTTATTAATTATAGGTTATTAAGTTAAAATTAATTATATTCAATCGCAAATAAGTTTCCCAAAAATAAAATTATTGTCGCGGTTAGTTCGCTACACCCTACAGATCCATGATTTTTTTTTTTGTTGCCTAAATGTGTGGACGAGCTCACAGCCCACCTGGTGTTAAGTGGTTACTGGAACCCAT